CAACTACTGCTTTTACTTCTTCAACGATTGGCAAGATTAGAAAATATTTGCGACAGATGATAGAAAACTAGCTGGCAGCTATGAATATTGAAAATATTTTCTTAAATTTTATTTTTAGATGACGAAGAAATGGTTGTGGATGATACAACAACATCAGAATCAGAAGTTAAGAGACCCTCATAGAGTACCACATTCAATGGTTTTATTGATGTTTCATCAAAAGTTGAACAAGAGAAGCTAGATCAACTATTAGCTAGGGCTGTTTATGCTACAGGTACTCCATTTGCCATTGTTGAAAATAATCACTGGCAATCATTTTTAAAACATTTGATATATATATATATTATTATCAAATAAATTACAGGATTACGAGCATGAAAAAGTTGATATAGACATTAAAATAAAAATTGGAAAAGAGAATACCCGTAGCTTATAGTGTGTTGGTTGGAGAAACCAAAGCAACGAATCCATACTTAACTTCATTATTACTACACCAAACCTTGTGTTTTATAAAACTTTTCCAACAAATATTTGTTGACATTCCGCAGAATATATTGCTGAAAAAATCGATGAAATTTTGAGAGAAGTTGGTACTGAGAAATTCAATGTAAAAAGTATACTTCATGAAAAGTACAAACATATTTCTGTTTATGGATGCGTTGCTCATACGCTAAATTTGTTAATTGGTGACATTTAAAAAATGAAAACCATGCGTACTGTTATGGAGGATGTTAAGGCTGTTATCAAAGAAATTAACAATTCTCACATTTTATTGGCTACTTTCAAAAAAATGCAAACTGAAAGAAAGTACACCAAATCAGCCATTTTCTTAAAATTACTTGTGAAAACACGATGGGGATCAAATAATCATAGTTTAAAAAGTCTTCTTGGTACAAAATATGACTTTTAATATAACTTTTATCACCTAATAAACCCTGTTGTTTAATACATAGCCCAACTGGAAGGAGATAAACCAAGGTTAAGCCAAGTAGCTGAATGCTTTCGTGAGTTGGAAAGTCATTTTGACTTTCCTCAAGTCCTTTACTTAACCCAGGGGAAAGGGAAGTAAAAATCTTTTTAGTTAAGAGCATGCAAATGGCAATAAATCCAATTCATCTTGCTGCAAATGTTCTAGATCCAAATTTTAATGGAATTCATCATAATAGAGAAGAACAATTACAAGGAACAGAGTTTATAGACAATATAGCTACTGTAACAAGCCCAGATGAGTCCGCAGAGGTAATTGCAGAATTGACCCTTTATCGATCTAAAGAAAAGTTATTTGAAAACCATACGTTTTAAAATCCGTGGAAAAACTACAAGATACTTAGTATACCTGCGTCGAGTGCTGCAACAGAAAGAATCTTCAGTACCTACAGCTTTACTCACACTGCGAAACGAAATCGGCTTACATCTGAACGAGCTGGTAAAATAACTTTAATTACTCTTAATTTAAAATTATTAGATTCTGCCACCAATGTGGAGGTTAATGAAGGCAATGAATTGATTGCAGTGATTTGAAAATTTTGCCACAGCTGTCTGAAAATTCATTAAATTCGAACTAATAATTGTTTAATTTTTCTTAGAATAATACTTCTTTTTTTTTTGTTATTTATTTCAAAGCATAAATTATTTTTTTACGCCAAATATATTCTAAACATCACAAATAAGTCCTCCATAGTAATTAATACCATAAATGTGAACCATGCCACGTTACAGCCGTCAGACTGAATTTGCCGAGCTGTATTTGTATTTAAAAGCTTGTTCTCAGAAAATTCTCAAAATCGAGAATAATCTCCTATTTTTTTTTCTCGAGAATTTTCCATCTCTAGCTCTAGATCGTACATAGTTATCGTTATCTGTGGAAAATGAAGCTCTCAAAAATACCATGGTTAAGTGGTCCTCAACGTGGAAATCTCTAACGCTATATATAATATATAAAAATATATATAAAAAGTAAAACAGATAAGAAGCGCTAATAAATAGAACTTAATCTCTCTGTGTACTCTTCATCTACAATTAAATCAAATCTTTTATTGTAAAACAATTTTACTTTTCTGTTTGTATTGTTGTTAAATACGTGTCAATACGTATTTAATATTGTTAAATTATCTCTAATAAATGAATTATAATTAAAATTAACCCGTATATTAACGCTGTATACAGGTGTTTCATTAATAATGGGAAATATTTTTACTGGAGATACTACGTGTCAAATAATGATCATTGACCAAAAATAGCCTTATTCAAAATCGCACCGTTTTCGAAGTAAAGGTCTTCAAAGTTCCAGAAAAAAAAAACGTTTTTTCCTTCTTTAAGCTAATCTACTTGTACGATGAAAATAAAATTTGGCATGGCGATTTAGTGTTATTACATGCTTCTTATGGTGGAATTTTCCAAAATCAGCATAATTACAGCAAGGAGAAAAAAATATCCTTGTGTTAACACCAATAGAACTTTTTTGTTTTTCGATTTATAAGCACGAAATTAGCATCACCTAATAGGCCAGTTAAAATGCTAAAAATAAGGTTCTCTTGTAGAAACTTCATGTTATATTTGGTTTTCGAGAATAACGAGAAAGTTCGGAAGGATTTGTGACTAAAAATACTTTAAACAGCAAAAATCCGGGTAGGCCAACACTTCTGTTTATGCACAAGAAAATTATTCCTGCCTTGCTGCTGCTCGAAGATATCAAGACATGTATCCAAACAGATTTTAACCTAATCGCAAAACTTTCAATAACATTTTTAGTCCATTAGGAAAGACTGGACAATTTAAGCCGGGACGACCTAAAAATTTGACTGTTGATCAGGAGGACGACATTTTAGTGCGAATCGCTGATAATCCTGAACTAAGCACTCGGCGTTTATCAGCAATGACTGGAGTAAGCTACCCAACAATTTTTCCATTACTGAAACAAGAAAATCTACGGCCTTTCCACATTACATCCGTACAAAACTTATTGCCTAGAGATTAACCTTCACGATTAAATTTTGCTCAGTGGATATTAAATAGAAAAAATGAAAATGGCAATTTTATTAAACAAATCCTTTTTAGCGACAAGCCCACTTTTACATGTAGAGGAGTCTTGTCTAGAGGAACTGGAAAAATAGCCACAGTTGAGATATTAAAAATCCCCATATATTCGGAGAATCATATTTTCAACAAGAAATTAAGATAAATGTATGGTGCGGTATTTTTGGATATAGTCTGTTGGGTCCTTATGAATATGAATGGTAACTCGTATTGGGAGTTTCTGCAAACTTCACTTTTCGACGACCTAGAAGAACTTCCACTTAACCAAAGGAGAGATATGTGGTTCATGCAAGATAGATCACCCCCTTATTATCCTCTGATGGTACAAAACTATCTAGATCAGCAATTTCCCCATCGTTGGATTGGCAGGGGTAATGAATTTCTGTGGCCGCCTAGAACTCCTGATTGTAATCCATTATATTTCCATTTCTGGGGCCATATGAAATCACTGGTATACTCACAAGAAATAAATAATAGTCAGGAACTATGGCAGCAAATAATCAATTCTGCTCATTTTGTTGCCAACCACCCAAACATATTTTTTAAAGTTAGAAGATCCTTTAGCGAAAGAACTACTAAACTTATTGAGGTTAATGGGGGCCACATTGAACATTTGTTAAGTGTTTCTTAAATATTGTACATTATAAAGTAAACAATAAATAAATAAATAATAATAAGAGTTTCATTTAACTTTAAATAGCTCGAAAAATAATAACTTAATCGTTACGAAGGGTGAATACATTTGTTTACATAGGAAGTATTGAAGAATCGAAAAATTGTGCTAAAATGACAATTCTAAATTTTTAAAATGTTTTAAAGATGAAAAAAACGATTTTTTTCTGGAACTTTGAAGACCTTCATCTCGAAAACGGTGCTATTTTGAATAAGGCTATTTTTGGTCATTATTTGACACGTAGTATCTCCAGTTAAAATATTTCCCATTATTAATGAAACATCCTACATATATAGTTGTTGCTCGAAAAGGTTGCGTCACATTCTGTCTTATTTTATCTACTTCAACCCCATTTTCCACTAAAGCCATAACAGTTCCATCTGCTTTTTTTTTCAATCTCTGTTTTATTTTTTATCTATGTATTAGGAACAAAAATTTTTACTTTAAAGCACATGTAAGATCATGTAACAGTAGTATAGATTCGCCGATTCTAGAACCTCCTCCTCGAATCTGCGTTCTAGGAGGAGGTTCTTGAATCGGCAAATTTTTTGGAGGTCAGAGGAGCTTCGATGAAGAGAGGAGGTTCTTGAATCGGCGATTCTTTTAGGGGTCGGAGGAGATTCGATGAGGAGAGGAGGAGGTCAATTAACTTGAGAAGGTCATGTTATTATGACGAAATTATTAAAAATTTATCTTTATTTATTTATTTAGGTCATGTTATTTTGAGAAAGTTATTAAAAATTTATCTTTATATGTAACCTGTTTATCTAAATGAAAACAATGACTATGTTTATCCTTCGACGTTTCTCAATGAACTGTTAGAACATGTCTTCGTTATATCTTTTAACTTATGTTTAACTTTAATATTTACAACTTTTCTAACCTTGTATATCATATTTTAATTCATAAAAAGAAACTCTCATCTATTTCTAAACTGATTTCTCTTGTACCCTGTGGGAAATGCGAATTGTATTAAAGGGTTTTGTAACAATAGGCAATGGATGGTGAAATTCACCGAGATTTGACACCCGTAATTAATCATCACTATTATAACGAAAATTCAATTTTCCATTTCATTGTGCCATCGCATTGAAACCCACCACCACATAGCTATGGTACGTAACCGAAATGTATTACGTCGATATAGAGTCGAATGGAAAAATGATGAGACGCCTTTTGTGATAAATTACTTCAGCAGCTATAATCGAAGTAACAAAACGACGTTGCCCTCTTTTTCTTTGCTTTCCTTATAAAAAGGACGGAGGAAGTGTATGAATAAAAACTCTTTGGGGTTGTAACAAAATATTTATATTGAAAATCGATACAACATAAGCATTTACAATTACTCGCCTTTTTAAAGAAAATTTCGTCGTAGAATATAACAAGCGTAAAAGCATAAAATTTTTGTACACGCCAATAACACACTGACTTCCGCACTATACCGTGTGTAATAATAAACTTTACACAACATGTTACAAAATATAATATTTTTTATCGCCGCTAATAACTATATAATTTATATACAATGTACGTTGATGTTGAGTCTTCACATTTTCTTTTCCATTTATTTTTATTCTTTTATTCACGATAAAAATTTTAGGACAGAATATGTTGTTAAAATAAATAACATTGATTGTCTTTGAATTTGAGCACTACCTTTTACTGAAACAAGATACAAACAATTACTGTTATGTTATACAATAAATAAAAATTCTAAAAAGTTAATTTTTGGTCACAAAACATTTAGAGGCTCTTTAGAATTTTTTATTGACTACTTTATAATATTATATAAAATAGAATTCACTTTGATGTACCTAATACAAGAGCTTCTCTGATTCCTTTCAGTGGTAAACTATGGACGACACTTTCCATATCACCTTTCCATAAAACTGGTGACACGGAAGCCACGCACTTGACTCTCATGGCACCGGCAACGAAGTGTGATCCGTGCAAAACAAACCTGAGACCCACGATGGTCGAGACGAGTCCATGAGCGTGAACAAACGGCGGATACTGGATCAGGTTATCCGGAGATGCGACCTGTAATTGTAATAGACCTTTGTGTTCGCGTGCACGTGCATTATCGATCTTTGACCTTTCACCCCCTTTTGCCAGCTCACCACCCGCGTTGACGGGGACAACGCTCTATTAAATTGCCAAACCGTACTACTTGTACAAACTAACTTGTAACTGTTCGCTCACTCACCTCTATGTCATTGACGTACCAATGAATCTCTGATGCTGGATGACTCTTACCGGAAGTGCAATTTAAATCGATCTCTTCCCCCAATGGATAATTTAGTTCCATTCCAGTTATTATCGGATCTTCTTCAGGAAGAGCTACGGAAATTAAACATTTTCAAAAATTTACTAACTCTTGTAACAAATTCGTTTTGACGAAAACATATAAGAGACGAAATTAGTTTCATTACTGATTTGAGTTACAACGGACATAAGGGGTATCGGTGTTTGATCGTGGAAAACACGTAATCATGGGTCTGACCGCACATTTTCTCCGTCAATTAGCGTTCGGTTTGGTTGGCAAACTTTTAACCAGGGATCGCCACCGAACATTTACTCCGTCTAAATGGATCAACTTACAAACGACTTCCATCAGCGCTTCGCTTTGGGCCGATGAAAAGGACGGCGCCTCCGCCGAAACTTCGCAACGGAACATGCCGCTCGTCTTTAAATTTACCGACCTTAATACCACCCTATTTCTTGTTGATAAACTAATCTAAAAAAAAACATTTAAAAATCAATTAAATTTATTCAAAAAAGTTGGTTGCATTAATATAATGAAATTTATCGTTATTTATGGTCGAATTTATAAAAACTCAATCATTGCATTGGTACAGATGAAAACACGAATGAGATTCATACAAAATAGTTTTTTCTCCAAGTACATTTTATAGATTGTTCGAGATTGTGACCGTAAAATAATATATTTTTCGACTAATTCCATAACATGAAAGGAATATTTTAAGTATATTAATACTTGTGAGTTTGAAGGAAATAAAATTTATTTGAATGAATCAACAGTAAAGTTTCTCAATAATAATATTTTGGTCAGTAATAAGTACGATTCGCAATTTAATATAATTTTAAGGTAAATGAAGATAAATCATGGATTAGCTATATATGTACAACATTGAATAAAGCACTCAAAGGAGTGCTTAATGAAATCGTCAGGTGTACGAGAAAGATCACATACAACCGTTCAGTTTAGCAAGAAGCAAGGGAAGGTGTGAAAAAACGATACCAGAAACTTGTGCAGAATGTGGAAGGCTGTTGAGTGACAATTATACGGAAAACCAGAAGCAGTTCTTGATGTAGTCAAAAAGAAAAAAAATCGAGAGTATCAAATAACTCAAAAACATACCAGAAGCATGGAAGGACTACAACACAGTAAGATTTAAAGAACGGTAAAAGAAAGAAGAAGATAATGAAGAACGGATAGAGACTCGAGAGAAAGTACGGTGGCTGAAAACAATATACCAGCAGGCGTGGAATAGCAGACTTGGAATACTGAAACAATACCCCTAGGTTGGGAGACGAACATAATTTTCCCAATAAAAAGGAAAAACAACTAGCTGCGAAAATCAACTAGAGCAAAATCAACAGAGCAGTATGTTTGACGCCGTTGGGAATAGAAAAATACATATATCTAGGAGCAGTGATTAGTAAAGCTGATAAAATGTACACAACAGAAGTAGGAAGTGATAAATACTTGTCGACACAAAAGTGTCATAGAGGAATTAAGCTTGAGAGCTCTGGTAGAAGCGAAACAACTGAAATGGAGTGGTCACTAAGTTCGAATAGCCGAGGAAAGAATACCATAGACAATATTCAATATGTCACAAGAAGAAAGAAGAAGACGAGATAAACCAAGAATCCAGTGGAAAACGGTAGTAAGAGAGTGGCGTTGAAAAGGGGAAATAATGTTGCCAAAGTACAAAGACTGGATCCGAGGCCCAATAGCGTGAGGTATAATGAAGAGAAGAGGAAGAAGAAGAAGGCCGTTCAGTTTATTTTAGTTATTACAGAAATGGTCTACAACCACAATTAAAGGCATTGTAAACAAGTGGACTTTGTTATCATTATTTCACTTGTCATAACTTAGGACCTCTAATTTTCGGTAAATTCCTATCGATAAAACATCGAAATAAGCCAAAAACTATGGAAATCTTGTCGGTTTATTGGATTTAGCTGAAATACTGTCCTTTTGTCAAATGGCAAACTGTGTTTTAGCACTATATTCGTTGATATCCTGATCTATGTTGCTGTTACCCATAAAAAAACATAGTTGTGATCGTTGCTACAGGTTTTTCAATACAACATGTCAACAACTGTAATTCATCCTTCCATCTAGAACGGGCACAAATGACTATGGTGGATATTATCAATACAGCTTGCTTACCATCAGGCGTCTTGTAGGAAACACACAGTTGATGCATCACAATATTAAGATAACCACAGATTTTACCACAGGAAAATAATAATGATGATCTAGTTTCCACAGAGTTCCTCAGTTTCAATATGTATGAAAACCACCATAATTGGTAAATTTTTTAATTCAAAATCTTATTCCCCTTCTGAATATTAATTGTTCTCGGATTGTCTTTAGATAAGGTATAGTAAAACAAATGGTTTTGAATTCAAAATTGGTCTTTTATAATTCAAGTCCGGAAACGAAATGTAACCATGTTTTACGTTAAATGTTTTCAAATAATTGACGTTAATGCAAAAAATTTGCAAATCATTACAACTAAGCCATCTTTCTAACCAATGTTGTACAATTCAAGCTCAAATCTATATATTTTCAACACATGCGCCGTTTTACAGTAAACGACCCCGGGTTTACGATTAATACTATAGAAACCCATTAATACATTGCAACGTCTTGACGCAAGTGACCTGGACTGAACTCACAATCAGTACAGAGAATGTAAACTTTTTTTCTGATTCAGTTGATATATAATGTAAGTTAAAATAAAAAACAATACTTTTTCTCGTCACGCTATTTAATGTCTAACCGGTTTCGGCTTACGCCATCATCAGATTGCGTCAAGTGACCAGAAAAAGTATTGTTTTTTATTTTAACTTACACTATATAAAATAACTGGTCGACATGCATCATCTAATTAAGTCGATATAGTTTACAACCAAGCCGCTGCGATTGATATCACACCGATACAAAATTGGACAACCCATATTGAACCGACTCGCAAACGATTACCTTAATAAAGAACAAAGAAACTAAATCAAGAACAAAGATTGTAGGATATTGCTTGATTCATAGTTGGATGTTTTTTAGAATACTTGCACAATGCAAAAATGTAACTGTAATTTTTTGCATTCCTTAATAATTTAAATTGCACAATAAATACTTGTTATATCATAACTTAAAAGACATTTTTAATTTATTATGTGAGGCATATTAATTTATTATTACGTCAATATTATTATTTCCAAAATATGAAGAAAGCGATATACGTATAATCTATAATAAACTTCAGATACGATTAGTGAAGCGTAGAGTGTATTGAAAAGAAGAGGAGATCAGAGAATGAGAGTGTTATAAATTTCCTGTAGTGAAAGTTTCAATATTGATGCCGATGCGCAGTATGTATAGTGGATGACACTGATCGATCCGCCGTCCCATTAGCATTTTTCAGTTTATACTACTTATGTATGAGCGTGGTAAAACTTTTATCGGAAAAAGGAACAATTTCATGACTCTGCTGACTTTAGGACGTCTAACCAAAACGTATTACGGCTTCAATAATCGATTTTGAATAAACGAAAAAAGTTGGACCACAGTCGTACAATCTGCCACGAACAATTAATATTTAGAAAAAGTGCCTGATGAAAATTTCTGTTGCACCGTTCTTTCAGTTCTATAGCTAGAACACGCAGTCTACATAGATGATATACAGCGTGTCCCGTATCTTCCGCATCAGAGCATTATACGGTTGTAGAATACATTATTCTGAAGCGATCTTTCTAATAAAATTTTTTCGAAATGTTTATAATAACCGCACGGGAACTGTTTAACGACGACCAATAACGGACAACTTTGATTCATCGAAAAAGTTTATTTCTCTTTCCATGACGAATTTATTGGTGTGTACACGTGGGAAACAAGTTATCATCGGCGTAGCGGACCGGCCGAGGGTGGCACCGATTACCTGAGTCTGATTTGCGATCTGCTGATTGGACGAAAAACAGTTCCTTTAAACAGTTCCCGTGCGGTTATTATAAACATTTCGAAAAAAATTTATTAGAAAGATCGCTTCAGAATAATGTATCCTACAACCATATAATGCTCTGATGCGGAAGATACGGGACACGCTGTATAGATAAAATAATCACCTACAATAATGATGTTTCAGTGAATTATTTATGTACATATATATATGTGTACAGATACTTGTACATGGTTATGGAGGTAAATCTTTTTACCGTATCATGAAATCGAAATCTGGATTTCGGATTGTAAAGCGAACTCTTTGATTCACTAGATTTTATTAGGGGATTTGAACGAGTCTATGTTGGACATGTATCCGCGTAAGTAGCTTCTACTATGGTTATCACCTTCCCAAAAGAATGGATGCATACGCATCACTGCAGACCTGCATAATTCTCTGTCCTCAGATTGAGATAATGATAAACGCTATAGACTTATAGCTACTTTATTTTCAGTTGTTGCAGATAAACTCTTTCTGTTCCGCTTAGATGCTTAGGAATATACGGACTAACCAATAACCATAACATACAGAAGTCATGCTGATACGACATCACGTTGATTTCAGTTTACATTCCAGGAAAGTGTTCTGGCATCACATCTGAAATAACTAAACCGTTTAGTAAAAAGGAATGATGATTGCTACACCATCAACCTTCTCGAAAGCTTAACATTTGAATGATTATGTATTGTTTAGGTTCGGAAGATTCTGTAGATTAAGCTCTGACAATGAGGTGTAAAAGTTTGGCAAACTTCATACCTAATCTTGGTAAGCATAATGGTACTTCCTTTCGACGTCCTTCATATAAATCTGTCTTCCTTCATATTCATTGAAAGTCTTAAAAAAGTGATGTGATTTTAATAATTGATATGTGTCACTTAGGTCTGTCTCTGCTTTATCAGAAAGGCGTGGAAATTTAAGAATAATCATTCCTCGTTCCCGGCATTTATCGTGATCTTGCGAAGTGTCGGATTTATTCAGTTCCGTAAAGAATCTGTTGCCAAAATTTAATTCATTCACCACGCGTTCACTTTACAATAACTCTCGGATTATCCACCAGGTGGTAAAGTTACGTCTGGAAGAATAACAAATCTGTGGACGAGACTAAATCTTCATATGCAGAGTACTATCATTGTGTCTTTCATCGAGAAGCATTGGTTACCAAAAGAATTTATGTGGAATTAACAGAGATCTTGGTTTAACGAAAATAATAAATTTTATGAAAAGTAGGGCGTTATACACGATTTTTTGCACAACTATGCAAAGAAATACAAGGTGATCCTAATGCATACAAATGTAAGGTGGCTCTCGAAGCAAAAGCACTGCGTCGATTTTAGAAATTGCTTAACGAAATAAAACTGTTCCAAATGGTAGAAAATGTTTTTGAAAAAGTGTAAGTAATTTAAGATTTTTAATCAAAGTGGCCATATTTTAATCATCTAAATGATGTGAATATAAAATTATAAGTCGTAAACGAAAATTGTTTCCA